ACTAACGTCTGATCAGTACAACATAGTTATAACTAACGTCTGATCAGTACAACATAGTTATAACTAACGTCTGATCAGTACAACATAGTTATAACTAACGTCTGATCAGTACAATATAGTTATAACTAACGTCTGATCAGTACAACAGAGTTATAACTAACGTCTGATCAGTACAATATAGTTCATACTAACGTCTCATCAGTACAACATAGTTATAACTAACGTCTAATCAGTACAACAGAGTTCAAACTAACGTCTGATCAGTACAATATAGTTCTAACTAACGTCTGATCAGTACAATATAGTTATAACTAACGTATGATCAGTACAATATAGTTCATACTAACGTCTGATCAGTACAATATAGTTCATACTAACGTCTCATCAGTACAACATAGTTATAACTAACGTCTAATCAGTACAACAGAGTTCAAACTAACGTCTGATCAGTAAAATATAGTTCATACTAATTCTGATCAGTACAATATAGTTCATATTAACGTCTGATCAGTGCAATATAGTTCATACTAACGTCTAATCAGTACAACATAGTTATAACTAACGTCTGATCAGTACAATATAGGTCATACTAATTCTGATCAGTACAATATAGTTCATATTAACGTCTGATCAGTGCAATATAGTTCATACTAACGTCTAATCAGTACAACATAGTTATAACTAACGTATGATCAGTACAATAGAGTTCATACTAACGTCTGATCAGTACAACACAGTTATAACTAACGTCTGATCAGTACAATATAGTTCTAACTAACGTCTGTTCAGTACAACAGAGTTCTAACTAACGTCTGATCAGTACAACAGAGTTCCAACTAACGTCTGATCAGTACAATATAGTTCATATTAACGTCTGATCAGTGCAATATAGTTCATACTATAGTTATAACTAACGTCTGATCAGTACAACAGAGTTATAACTAACGTCTGATCAGTACAACAGAGTTCTAACTAACGTCTGTTCAGTACAACAGAGTTCATACTAACGTTTGATCAGGACAACAGAGTTCAAACTAACGTCTGATCAGTACAATATAGGTCATACTAATTCTGATCAGTACAATATAGTTCATATTAACGTCTGATCAGTGCAATATAGTTCATACTAACGTCTAATCAGTACAACATAGTTATAACTAACGTATGATCAGTACAATATAGTTCATACCAACGTCTGATCGGTACAAAATGGTTCATACTAACGTCTGATCGGTACAAAATGGTTCATACTAACGTCTGATCGGTACAAAATGGTTCATACTAACGTCTGATCGGTACAATATAGTTCATACTAACGTCTGTTCAGTACAACAGAGTTCATACTAACGTTTGATCAGGACAACAGAGTTCAAACTAACGTCTGATCAGTACAACATAGTTCATACTAACGTCCGATCAGTACAATATAGTTCATACTAACGTCTCATCAGTACAACATAGTTATAACTAACGTATGATCAGTACAATAGAGTTCATACTAACGTCTGATCAGTACAACAGAGTTCAAACTAACGTCTGATCAGTACAATATAGTTCATACTAATTCTGATCAGTACAATATAGTTCATATTAACGTCTGATCAGTGCAATATAGTTCATACTAACGTCTGATCAGTACAACATAGTTATAACTAACGTCTGATCAGTACAATATAGTTCATACTAACGTCTGATCAGTACAATATAGTTATAACTAACGTCTGATCAGTACAACATAGTTCATACTAACGTCCGATCAGTACAATATAGTTCATACTAACGTCTGATCAGTACAACACAGTTATTACTAACGTCTGATCAGTACAATATAGTTCATACTAACGTCTGATCAGTACAATATAGTTCTAACTAACGTTTGATCAGTACAATATAGTTCATACTAACGTCTGTTTAGTACAACAGAGTTCATACTAACGTCTGATCGGTACAATATAGTTCATACTAACGTCTGATCAGTACAATATAGTTCATACTAACGTCTGATCGGTACAAAATGGTTCATACTAACGTCTGATCGGTACAATATAGTTCATACTAACGTCTGATAAGTACAATATAGTTCATACTAACGTCTGATCGGTACAATATAGTTCTAACTAACGTCTGATCAGTACAATATAGTTCATACTAACGTCTGTTCAGTACAACAGAGTTCATACTAACGTCTGATCGGTACAATATAGTTCATACTAACGTCTTATATTACAACACAGTACATCACTACATAACAATATTTGTATAAGTTACGCGTATTCAACGTTTAGGGACGGACTAAGATACCAAATTCGAATTCCTTCGTTTAGGGGTACCTCTAAAACCTTTCATTAATCGAATTACATTTAACGTGAAAAACGAAGAGTAATGTTAAGATAACATGTTTCATATGAAGTGAAAAATAGAGCGTAGCAGTAGAGATCAATGCTGTGTTTCTATGTTTACGTTCACATATGGTAAGGCGCTTTATGGTATAGACTATAGTTTACTTGTAATCAAATCCTACTGTTTTCTACCTGACACCGAGGAGCACCTAACAAATACCTAAAGTATGCTAATTAGCACGACATCAGAAACCTAAATACAACTGGCGGTAATTAGCGGGAGCGCTAGCGAGATCGATGGTTTTCGGAGAGAGGGGTAAGGTTGCTAATCGATTCAAGCACCTGTGGAAATTTGCCTCGTGCGTGGTTGACATTTATTTATGCTGATTAATATGTGTTCCTGCATGTCCATGCATTCGGTCCGTTGAACCATTTCACTTGTCTAAGTGTTGAAAATATATCTAGTGTTAAAATGTACTACGTTGGCTGTTGGGCCTCATGTTCACCTGTGTGACAGCCGCAACACGTGTGTGAAATCTAATTAGATAAGGACACGCTGACTCCCACTGGTCAGTGATGGACTAATTAAGTCTGTTTATTGGAGCATGAATAGGTAAATTTGTGAGACTCGAGAACTGTCAACCAGACCCGATATCAGCAGGGATCAACACGGTAAATAACATGTCTTTGTTTTGCAGCTGTTTGTGTGTTTGTTTGCATTAGATATGTCGAAGTTATCAATATAGGTAATGAAAAATTAGGTTGTATTAACGAATATCTATAGTGTCTCGTTAGCCTTAGTAGGCTGATGTCAGTCATATATTGTTTGTACAATTTAGGTCATGCTTGTATGTAGGTATTTTATGCAAAATGGACCTGTGATATTTTTAATGAAATACATCGTACTGTTGTATTGTGTGTTACATACAAGGATTGATCAGGACCTACATTACAATATATTATGAAATATATAAAGAATATACAGGTCTCTGGATTAATTGATATAGGTCTCTGGATTAACCGACTTAAAAAGAAAGAAACAAAGAAACAAAGAAAGAAAGAAAAAATGAAAGAAAGAATGAATGAATGAATGAATGAAGGACAGAGGCAATAGACCTTGTATGTAAAGGAATATGGAAACAGCTTCATGGGTGTTCTCAAACGATCTTGCAATCTTTCTCATTTTGTCTGATTGTACAATGCGCGACATGTACATGCATTTCGATGTCATAAATGATTCAATATGTGTCTAACTATTCCATTATATGAGGTTTGTCTAGGTTTTTAATGTGATCGGGAATTTTCTTCAGAATTTTCGAAAATATACAACATTTGTATTAAGATGACCAAACTTTCAATTTGGGGTACCATGTCAGTAGAGTTAACGAGGCGGCAGGTCAGTATCTATGTTGATTTTACTGGTTAGCTTAATTTGCATCAAGTCATTATTATCATAGTGCATGCAGTCAATGCATTGACTTACATTATAACAACACTGTATGTTACAATGGAATGAATAACAATCGAGCAGGTAGTATGATACGATGGTACATATTTAAAGTACAATTTAATAGAGTGAGTTACGCGATATTTTGAAAAGTGTATACATTGTAGCTAATTGTAACTTATACTGAAACAAATACATTTTGATACATTGTAAGTAATAACTATAAAGTATAACAAAATGAAGAACAATTTCATACAATGTAATACATAGTACTCTTTAATTATTTTACAATAAGATGCATAGTACAGTATAATACAATGTCAGAACATGACATAGCTACCTAGACAGAACACAATATACAATGCCGTGTCTAATTATAATAATTTTAAAATACACTAAGAACTCTCGTCTAGTTTGTGAGTTTAAATAATACCGTATGATTTTCTTGTAATTTGATGAATTAATTAGTTTTAACACTTTATTTTTGTAAAAACAAATTCATATTTTGAAGAAAATATCGGAAACTATTTGCACAGTTGCCTGTGTGCCTGCGTGAATGGTACAGAGCCGAACCCTGACAGTGTGTATACGTACGGCTGTGTAGGTGAGATACGTTACTATCGATCAGCCAGGCTCAGCAACCGGTATCATACAATCTCTCCGCGGATTCTCTCCGAGCCTCGTTCCCGAACACTTTCCCTCATTTCCGCACATGACAGATTTGGCAAATGGAAGTGATGTATAGGCGAAGTGGCGGAGAAGATACGATGGTTACCCCAGCTATGCTCGCCACCGTCCCTCCATCTCGTCCTTGCGCTTGTTGTGAATTCCTCAGTTTTCGTTCGGATGTTGTATCGGAGGTTAAATAGAACGAGGCGAACACGCGACAGGAAATCTATACCAGCACTACTATTGACGAGCACCATCCATGGATGACTCTGGCCTTGCGGAAAACAACATGTTACAGTGCGGAGCAGACCCAGACGAGCATGGCCACGGACATTTCTTTATCAAGAAGACATTTCATAAACCAACGTACTGTCACCATTGTACGGACATGTTGTGGGGACTTATCGGGCAGGGATTTGTTTGTGAAGGTAGGTGATACCCAGTCTCACGCTATTCGCCAGTCGCTAATTTATGGTGAAAACGAAATGCGCTTATGTTTGTGTGTATTTTGCCCGGCATTTTCGCATTTGCCCGGGGGGCGGGTGGGTACTGGTGGTTGTGGGGTGTGGGGTAGGGTGCAATGTGTGGTTGGGTTTAATTAATGCATGCGTACACAGCCCCGAGATGACGACAGGCGCTTTCCACATCGATCAGAGCTACGGACACCCATGTTAGCTGCGGCACTGAATGGCTGCTACTATCGATCGCCTCAGTGCCGGGAAGTAGTATCTCCACAACATAACGGGCACATCTACTGTCATACTAGCTAGCCCAGACTAAACATCTACTGTCATAGTAGTCCAAACCACACACATACTGTCATAATAGCTAGCCCAGACTAAACACTATCATACTAGCTACTCCAGACAAAACATCTACTGTCATAGTAGTCCAAACCACACACATACTGTCATACTAGCTAGCCCAAACTAAACAACTACTGTCATACTAGCTAGCCCAGACTAAACATCTACTATCATATTACCTAGCCAAGACTAAACATCTACTATCATAGTAGCTAGCCAAGACTAAACATCTACTGTCATAGTAGCTAGCCCAGACTAAACATCTACTGTCATACTTGCTAGCCCAGACTAAACATCTACTGTCATACTTGCTAGCCCAGACTAAACATCTACTGTCATACTTGCTAGCCCAGACTAAACATCTACTGTCATACTTGCTAGCCCAGACTTAACATCTACTGTCATACTTGCTAGCCCAGACTAAACATCTACTGTCATACTTGCTAGCCCAGACTAAACATCTACTGTCATACTTACTAGCCCAGACTAAACATCTACTGTCATAGTAGTCCAAACCACACACATACTGTCATACTAGATAGTCCAGATTAAACATCTACTGTGATAGTAGTCCAAACCACACACATACTGTCATACTAGATAGCCCAGACTAAACATCTACTGTCATAATAGCTAGCCCAGACTAAACCAACTACTGTCATACTAGGTAGCCCAGACTAAACATCTACTGTCATACTAGCTAGCCCAGACTAAACATATACTGTCATACCTGCTAGCCCAGACTAAACATATACTGTCATACTTGCTAGCCCAGACTACACATCTACTGTCATACTAGCTAGCCCAGACTAAATTCATACTGTCATACTAGCTAGCCCAGACTAAACATCTACTGTCATACTAGATAGCCAAGACCAAACATCTGCTGTCATACTAGCTAGCCCAGACTAAACATATACTGTCATACTTGCTAGCCCAGACTAAACATATACTGTCATACTAGCTAGCACAGACTAAAAATCTACTATCGTACTAGCTAGCTCAGACTAAACATATACTGTCCTAGTAGTCCAAACAACACATATACTGTCATACTAGCTAGCCAAGATTTAACATCTACTGTCAAACTAGCTAGCCCAAACTAAACATCTACTGTCATACTAGCTAATCCAGACTAATCATCTACTGTCATACTTGCTAGCCCAGACTAAACTTATACTGTCATACTTACTAGCCCAGACTAAACATGTACTGTCATACTTACTAGCCCAGACTAAACATTTACTGTCATACTAGCTAGCCCAGACTAAACATCTACTGTCATACTAAATAGCCCAGACTAAACATCTACTGTCATACTAGCTAGCCCAGACTAAACATCTACTGTCATACTAGATAGCCAAGACCAAACATCTACTGTCATGCTAGCTAGCCCAAACTAAAAACATATACTGTCATACTTGCTAGCCCAGACTAAACATATACTGTCATACTAGCTAGCTCAGACTAAACATCTACTGTCCTAGTAGTCCAAACAACACACATACTGTCATACTAGCTAGCCAAGATTTAACATCTACTGTCAAACTAGCTATCCCAAACTAATCATCTACTGTCATACTAGCTAGCCCAGACTAAACATCTACTGTCATAGTAGTCCAAACCACACACATACTGTCATACTAGCTAGCCCAGACTAAACATATACTATCATACTAGCTAGCCCAGACTAAACATATACTGTCATACCTGCTAGCCCAGACTTAACATCTACTGTCATATTAGTCCAAACCAAACACATACTGTCATACTAGTTAGCCAATAATAAACATCTACTGTCATACTAGCTAGCAGAGACTAAATATCTACTTTCATACTATAGCTAGCTAGCCAAGACTAAATATCTACTGTCATACTAGCTAGCCCAGACTAAACATCTACTGTCATACTTGCTAGCCCAGACTTAACATCTACTGTCATACTTGCTAGCCAAGACTGAACATCTTCTGTCATACTTGCTAGCCCAGACTAAACATCTACTGTCATAGTAGTCCAAACCACACACATACTGTCATAATAGCTAGCCCATGTTATATACATACTGTCATACTAGCTAGCCCGGACTAAACATCTACTGTCGTACTAGCTAGCCAAGACTAAACATCAACTGTCATAGTAGCTAGCCAAGACTAAACATCTACTATCATAGTAGCTAGCCAAGACTAAACATCTACTGTCATTCTAGCTAGCCCAGACAAAACATCTACTGTCATACTAGATAGCCCAAACTAAACATCTACTGTTATACTTGCTAGCCCACACTACACATCGACTGTCATACTAGCTAGCCCAGACTACACCTATACTATCATACTAGCCAGCCCAGATAACACATCTACTGTCATACTCTATCATACTAGCTAGCCCAGACTAAACATCTACTATCATATTACCTAGCCAAGACTAAACATCTACTATCATAGTAGCTAGCCAAGACTAAACATCTACTATAATACTAGCTAGACAAGACTAAACATCAACTGTCATACTACCTAGCCAAGACTAAACATCTACTATCATAGTAGCTAGCCAAGACTAAACATCTACTATAATACTAGCTAGACAAGACTAAACATCAACTGTCATACTAGATAGCCAAGACTAAACATCTACTGTCATACAAACTAATCATCTACTGTCATACTAGCTAGCCCAGCATCCACCTGTACTATCATACTAGCCAGCCCAGAAAACACATCTACTGTCATACTAGCCCAGACAAAACATCTACTGTCATACTAGCTAGCAGAGACTAATTATCTACTTTCATACTATAGCTAGCTATCCAAGACTAAATATCTCCTGTCATACTAGCTAGCCCAGACTACACATCTTCTGTCATACTAGCTAGCCCAGACTAAATCCATACTGACATACTAGCTAGCCCAGACTAAATACATACGGTCATACTAGCTAGCCCAGACTAAAACATATACTGTCATACTAGCTAGCTCAGACTACACATCTACTGTCATACTAGCTTGCCCAGACTAAACACATACTGTCATACTAGCTAGCCCAAACTAAACAACAACTGTCATACTAGCTAGCCCAGACTAAATCCATACTGACATACTAGCTAGCCCAGACTAAATACATACTGTCATAATAGCTAGCCCAGACTAAACATCTACTATCATATTACCTAGCCAAGACTAAACATCTACTGTCATACTAGATAGCCCAGACTTAACATCTACTGTCATACTTGCTAGCCCAGACTACAGTCCAAACCACACACATACTGTCATACCAGCTAGCCCTGACTAAACCTCTACTGTCATACTAGCTAGCCCAGACTACACCTATACTATCATACTAGCCAGCCCAGAAAACACATCTACTGTCATACTAGCCCAGACAAAACATCTACTGTCATACTAGATAACCCAGACTAAACATCTACTGTTATATTGCTAGCCCACACTACCCATCTACTGTCATACTAGCTAGCCCAGACGTCATACTAGCCCAGACAAAACATCTACTGTCATACTAGCTAGCACAGACTAAACATCTACTGTCATACTAGCTAGCCCAGACTAAACATCTACTGTCATACTAGATAGCCCAGACTAAACACATACTGTCATACTGCTAGCCCAGACTAAACATCTACTGTCATACTAGCTAGCCCAGACTACACATCTACTGTCATACTAGCTAGCCCAGATAACATATCTAATGTCATACTAGCTAGCCCAGACTACACATCTTTTGTCATACTAGCTAGCTCAGACTACACATCTACTGTCATACTAGCTAGCCCAGACTACCCATCTACTGTCATACTAGCTAGCCCAGATAACATATCTAATGTCATACTAGCTAGCCCAGACTACACATCTACTGTCATACTAGCTAGCCCAGCCAACATATACTGTCATAGTAGTCCAAACCACACCCATACTGTCATACTAGCTAGCCCAGACTTAACATCTTCTGTCATACTAGATAACCCAGACTAAGCACATGCTGTCATACTGCTAGCCCAGACTAAACATCTACTGTCATACTAGCTAGCCCAGACTAAACATCTACTGTCATAGTAGTCCAAACCACACACATACTGTCATACCAGCTAGCCCTGACTAAACCTCTACTGTCATACTAGCTGGCCCAGACTACACCTATACTATCATACTAGCCAGCCCAGATAACACATCTACTGTCATACTAGCTAGCCCAGACTAAACATATACTGTGGTACTAGCTAGCCCAGACTAAACATCTACTGTCATAGTAGTCAAAACCACACCCATACTGTCATACTAGCTAGCCCAGACTTAACAGCTTCTGTCATACTAGATAACCCAGACTAAGCACATGCTGTCATACTGCTAGCCCCGACTAAACATCTACTGTCATACTAGCTAGCCAAGACTAAACATCTACTGTCATACTAGATAGCCCAGACTAAACATCTGCTGTCATACTAGCTAGCCCAGACTACACATCTACTGTAATACTAGATAGCCCAGACCATACACATACTGTCATACTAGCTAGCCCAGACTACACATCTTCTGTCATACTAGCTAGCCCAGACTAAACACATATTGTCATACATGCTAGCCCATTGCTATCCCAGACTACAGTCC